GAATTATCTCCCTGGTGGTGGAGGAAGGAGGAATTCTGAGGAATCTTGTCCTTGTGAGCATGTGTGAGCATTATTTTTCACCATATAACTTTTGCCGTTCAACTCACCCAAAATGCTGAGAGCCGTGGGCTTGAGGGCGTGACCCTCTCTCTTGCGTGTAGAATGTGTGTGGGTTGCGTGCTCTTGCAGGTCCCCCTCCAGGCGAGTGCAGAGGCAGTGTGAAGACGCTCTGTGTGACCAGGTGGGATGTGCGGCCCTCCCAGGGCTGGGGTCGGAGTGCAGGCCCTGCCTTGCCTCCTGAGGCCTGCGCTGTAGTTGAGTGCAGGGCTTTGGAGTTTCTTGAAGCTAAATTGACAGAAAAGTAGACACTTGAGATTTTGTTGACTGAGGTTTTCAGCAAGTGGAGACTGGAGAGTGATAGAGCGTCAGGGAAAAGGAATCTTCAGAGAGGTGGCAAAACCCGCTGTGGTGGGAAGTCTAAGTTTTTCTTTGTCTCTGGCAATCCATGTGGACCATTTCTGGATCGCAATTGGCTCTGGTGTCCCGGGAAACCAGTGACTTAGTCTCTTCCTGCTCTTCTCAGATCTGGCTCTGGGCCAGAGGTGTGTGCTGGCGAGCTGGTCTCAGGGCCCCACTGGCCACGAGCTTCTTGGAGCAGCCAAGGAAGAGCTGAGTCTCTGTGCTTTTTTTTTTTTTTTTTTGAGATGGAGTCTCACTCTTTTTGCCCAGACTGGAGTACAGTGGCGTGATCTCTGCTCATGGCAACCTCTGCCTCCTGGGTTCAAACAATTCTCCTGCCTCAGCCTCCCGAGTAGCTAGGATTACAGGCATGCGCCACCATGTCTGGCTAATTTTTGTATTTTTAGTAGAGACGGGGCTTCACCATGTTGGCCAGGCTCTGTGCTCTTCTTCTTAACACCAGGTTATTTCCCTGAAACCAGGGTCCTGTGGTGGCTCAGCCAGACACTGATTCCCCCTCCCAGTGAGGGAGCCCAGGCCTCTGCCACAGGGGTGTGAACGGAGGGCTCCGTGTTGGGAGAGGCACCTGATTGTGCTGCTTGCTGTGCAGGTCTCAGCTTTCCGTTCTGTGCTGTGTTACTACTTCAGGCGCTGTCAGGGACCTACAGGTGTGTCTTATAATGACAGTTAAACTAAATTTTAATTTACTTTTAAGTTTTATGGGTAATGTACAGATACGTTTCCTAGCATGTCTAATGGGCGTGGTTACCACAAATTTGCCAGCACACCCACATACACTGTGGGTTTCTTTCATTTTTCCCTCTAATATTGTCAACCTGAAATGAGCCACGGGCATGGACTCTCCACAGTGAAGTTGCTTTGGGGCTAGCAGGGTGTTGTAGCCTGGGCTGTGTGTGCAGGGTCAGACTGTAGGTGCCTCCGGGGGCTTGGAGCAAAGGAGAGATTTTAAAACCAAAAAGGAGACATTTACGTAAGCTGTCTAGAAACAAAGACCTTTGGGGACAGGGGCTTTTTGCGGGGGTTGGGGGAGCACAGCAAGTCGGCTTGTTGTCAGGCAGGTGTCCCTGATCTGGAGTGCTATGGTTTGGAGAGGCTCCTGCCTTGTGACCGTCCTAGGCACTCGTGTGGGAGGCCTCGCCCCTCCTTCATGGCTATGCAAATTAACCTGCTCTAATCACTTTTGTTGGTTTGTTTGTTTTTTATTTTATTGTTTTTGAGGTGGAGTCTGGCTGTTACCTAGGCCGGAGTGCAGTGGCGTGATCTAGGCTCACTGCAAGCTCCACCTCCTGGGTTCACGCCATTCTCCTGCCTCAGCCTCCCAAGTAGCTGGGACTACAGGTGTCCGCCACCACGCCCGGCTAATTTTTTGTATTTTTGGTTGAGACGGGGTTTCACTGTGTTAGCCAGGATGATCTCGATCTCCTGACCTCGTGATCCGCCTGCCTCAGCCTCTCAAGTGCTGGGATTATAGGTGTGAGCCACCATGCCCGGCCTCTAGTCACTTTTTAACTTGCCCCGGCTGCCTTCCCAGGTCCGCACACACTGGCTGGCCTGCTCCTATCCCGTTGCTCCCCTGCCCCACGCAGGATCTGCCGGGTTCTGCTGAGGTAGCTTCCATTTGCAGGAGCACCTGGGTGTGTCTGATGATGTTTTGCTGTTGTTGCAGCGCTGCCCCAGACAGCCTTGTGTGCGTCTGTCTGCTCACCACAACTGCTCCTTCCTGTGTCCTGTGCACACGCATGCTGCTCCCGGTTCACTTGCTGACCCAGATGCTTGTCAGCTGAGTCCTGTTATGTGGCAGAAGTCAGGCTTCCCAGACTCCACCGTGGTTTTTGGAGCAGCGGGTGCTCCCTGGCAGCCATGCTGTCCTCTGGGCAGGACTGAGAGTATAGTTTGGGAAGCACCTTAACCCATAACCACATCGAACATTAAAACAAAGAGATTCGAAACTGAGTTATTTTGTGGCCTTGGTGTATCTCTTCCTGCTGTGCTTCACTGGATGGATCTGTGTTTTGGGCCCTGGGGCTCTGGGCTTCCCACAAGATGTCTTTTTAAATGGCCACCTTTAATGGCCTTTTTAAATGGCCTTTTAGGTCGGTTTACTCTCTTGGAAGAAAAATTTGCATAAGTCATTATATAAAGAGTTACTTGAAAAAACTTTCCACGCTGTATGCAAATTTGAGACGATGGGGAAATAAAGTGCATGCGAGAAGTCGGATGTGCTTGGAAGGTTTAACTTTTCATCCAGGTTTTCCTCCCCGAGAGGACGCACACAGGCGCAGAGAGCTGGCCCCTGAGTGCCCGCTGTCTCTGCTGAAGATAATGGAGCCATTTCCGGCAGTTTGTCCTCATTATCAAAATCAGCCTGCGGAGTTTTCCGAGTTCGCATTTACGGAGGAGCAGAGTGGAACTGCACTTGCCGCTCTGCTGTCTCATCTTTCAGGCTGTTTCTGGGAGGAGGTGGGCAGGGGGTTGCTGCACGGAGCTCTGAAATGGACTGTAAGAGGCACTCAGAGAATCTGGGGAGAGGCACCGGCTTTGAGGACAGCTGGGTCCCCACAGAACCCTCATCCGCGTTTTGCTTTTAGTGAGATGATATTTCCTGGGGAAGTAGAGCTTGCTAGATCATTTGCTAACTCCCTCTGAGTGCGTGAGCTCATTTATAGAAGGGCAGGTTCCTCTGACCAGAGTCTTTGCGCTCCTTGGAGCCACGTTACTGTGGCTGGTTACAGAGGAGCTGGGCGGGCCAAGTGGGCACTGCCCAGGAGGTGGTTGGACTGGGAGCTGTGCCCGCCGGGCTGGGCAGTTGGATCCTCTGAGGGTTGAGGGCTCCCTCTGGCCTTGCCCTCACTGCCTTCCACCCACCCACAGGCCCTTAGCAGAGTCTCCACCAGATCCTGCAGCTGGGGAAGCACCTCCCTGGATGGGTTCTGAGAGCTGCTGGGAGAGGCACGCGGGGATTGGCTTGATGGTCGCGCAGCTCTGGTGTTAGGGTGGTACTTTCTGGATTTGGTTTCTCCTTGGTAAACAGCGTTTTCCTTGTTTTTGTTTTGTTGGGATTCAGAGCGGAACAGGAAGTGACTGGGCAGTCTCTGTCCAGAGCGCCCAGCGTTTGACGTCACAGGCCTCTGTGCTGTGTGCTTGGTCCATAGGTCCCGTGGGTGCCGGCCCGTGCTGTGAGCTGCAGGAATTCAGGATTCCAGGACATACAGGAGATTCGTTTGCCCAACCTTCATGGCAGCAGAGGCCACAGGAGAGGGAGGGAAGGCGAGCTGCTAGGCCCAAGATGTGGGCCACATGGGGGTGACGGGAGGTGGGACAGCGCCATGGGGGAGCCTGATTTCTCCGGAGGTCTGGGTTATCCTGGAAGTCCAATGGGGAGTGGTGGTGTCTGCTGCAGTGGAGAGTCCTGTCACTGTGAAGGAGGCTGTCATGAGCCAGGCAGGGACAGGACATGGGCTGGAGTCTGGGCTGTGGGCCTCAGGGAAGCCAGGCAGATGACTCAGTGCACGGGGCTCCCACCCTGGCCTCTGAGTGGACAGAGGTGGCCCTGTCAGGATGGGCTTAGGGTCTGGCTTGGTGGTGTCATGGCAGGCAAAGGCAGATGGCGGTGTATGTGAAATACCATAAGAAGCCTGGTGGGTTTCAGAGACTCCAGTGATGCTGGTGCTTCCTCCTGCTGAGGTGCAGGGGCTGAGTGCCCTGGGGCTGCTGGGCCATGAGGTGTCCATGTGGCCTGGGGAGGGGTTGCAGAAGCAGCACAAATGCCAGCTAGGGTGAGGCGGGGCTGGGCAGGTACAGGTGGCCCTGAGATGAGGCTGCTGGCTCTGTGGGCAGCCCCTGGATGCTTGGGAGGCAGCCATGGCCTCATAAAGGGCAAAGGCTGTTCTCAGTCCCTGGCTCCAGGGGGGCCACATGAAGGGCTGGGCTTGCCTCCCCAGGTGGGCCTCCCAGTGTTACCGGGCCCGCATGGAGAATCCTCAGCAGGACCTGGAGGACAGCTTGTGCTTAGTGGGCGTTTGCGAGGCTGCAAGCCAGGTTGGCAGCTCCTGCTCGGGAGCTTCTCAGTTAACAAGACAGCCTGAGTCAGGGAGCTGCAAGACCAGGGCAGCCTCAGACCCCAGCTCTTCCGGGCAGGGAAGATGCAAAGATGACAGGTGAGGAGAAGCGCGTTAGGGAGCTCCAGGCACTCCGTGCTGTGAGACCTCCTGGCCTAGGAAGAACAAGGGATGCATACCACGAGGACGAGGCCGGCTGCACCCCCTCTCCTGGCTGCCGGTGCATGCCAAGGCTCTAGACAGACAGTGACGCTTTTGGGTGGCACCGTCGCTGCTGTTGATCCTGAGCAGTAACCAGTGGCCGCCCCGTTACAGACAAGGTGGTGAGGCCTGTGGAGACCTGACTGCCTGGGGGTCCAGGGCCCCACCGCCCCCCACACAGGCTGACAAATTTCCAGGGGCCCACCGCCCCCCACACAGGCTGACACATTCCCTCTCTTACCCCACTGTGCTTCCTCCTAGGCCCGCCAGCGCCAGCACCTCGAGGTCTCGCTGCCCCGCAGGACTCGCCTGTGGGACCAGGGGTAAGTCCAGGCCCCCCACGGCCTCCTTCAGAATTCCAGAGTCAATTACTTGCAAGAAAACCCTCTGTCTCCGCTTAAGCACAGTTGCTCCCTGCGTGCTTCTGTGTGGCTGGGGAGGATTGCTGGTGGTGGCGGGGTGTCCCCTCCTGCCCTGTCTGTGCAGCCTGTCCCTGATGTTCTGACTCCCAGTGCGGGCTTTTAGTGGGGCTGCTGCTCACAACCCCTATGTTGCTGTATAGGGCATCTCCACATCTCCCTGGCAGTTACATCTCATGGTGGCAGCTCTTTCAGGACTGGATGGCCTTCGCTTTTTCTGAGAGACACCGAGGTGTGGTCCTCACCCTCTTTGCTCTCCTGGACTAACTCCACCAGGAGCGGTGCCTGGCAGCTATTGGTGTCCAGGGCACCCGCCAGGCACAAATGCTGGTGGAGACTGGCACTGCTCTGAGAACCACGAGCTGCTGGCAGCTGCATGTCCAAAGGCGCAGATCCCTATGGCACTGGAACTTCCTGGGTGGGAGGAGAGGCTCCTTCCTGCTGGGCCGTTGCCCGCCGGCGGTCTGAGCTGAGCTCCTGCTTGGCTACCATTCTGGAGTCCCAAGACACCCATGGCGCTCACCTGTGGCTCCAGGCTGGCCTTGGCTGTGTGAGTTCAAGTGAGGTCAGATGTGGCTTGTTTCTGCTGATGACTCTGTCTGCCAGCATCACCCTCAAAATTGACTTTCTAGAAAAGTTGACTAATTCAGTATCCAAGGCTGTCTCCAGGAAGCAGCTTTAGTGTGTCATCTGCTGTGGGAAACCGGATCACGAATGAAAAATACTGGATTCACCTAAAGGCACGAGTCTGTGGACGGCCTCCTGGGCTTCCCTGCTGGCCCAACCTGGCATTTTCCCTGGAGCAGTTTCTATGTGACCCGGAGTGGTCACAATACCTTGTGGGGTCTGAGGGAAGCTGAGCAGGCCCCAAAGATCTCCTCTGCTCCCTGAAGATGCTGCTAGGGTCCCCTGGGGATGCTTCGTGCACCCCGCCCCCCATTCGTTCCTCAGTGCCTCTTCATACATTGGGGCGTCTCTGCCAGCACCTGGTGTGGGCCAGCCATCATTGCTGACAGTGAATGTCTCGGATGCTGGCTGTGTATACTGGAGTTAGAGTCCAGGTTTGAGATCCGTGTCTTCAGTAGTGCCTGGGCCCCCAGCCCTCGGCATCAAGGTGGTCATTGCCTTAACAGGGAGGTTTGTTCGATAGGAGTGCAGGTGGCTAGAATCGGCAGGGCCTTGGAGGTGCTCAGTCCAGTGCTGGCAAGGGACAGAGAGGCACAGGCCAGGCTGCCTCTGTAGCTGGAGATGCTTTCTCCTTTCTTGCTTGTTTTCCTTGTTAATATTCTTATTCAAATATTATGATCTGCGGTAGATCATGGAATCACTTCTCTGTCATTAAATAAAGGAACTTGAGAAGCGGTCCCAGGTTGCAGAGCTGCCCTGGCTGGGAGGCTGCAGCCATCACTCCCTTCCGTGGCTGGATCCAGGGCTGCCCCGTTCCCCAGTGTGGCCAGTGCATGCTGGGAGTTTTGTGGATGGACTGGCAAGTTTCTGAGCCCCTCACCTGTGCTTTCTTTCCTTCCAGTTGTCGATTTCCCAGCTGGCGGCCTCCCCGCGGTCCCCGACTCAGCACGGCGTGGCCAGGCCTACTTCACAGCCACCCCATGGCTCTCGGGCCTCCCCGACTCAGGCAGTAAGTACCGCCCACCTCCCGCCTTGCCTTCCACCAAGGAGTGGCTCCACAGCTCCTCACTTCGGGTTTGTGCTGTGCTGGTCCTCAGTTAGGTGGCAGAGACCTTGCGGGTTCCCTGGGATGTGGGTTGGGCGGGGGTTATTGCTTACTCTGAGGCCTCAGACAGTTGCCACCATTCTGTCTTGGAGACCAAAAAAGAATGTGGCCCATGAGTTCTTCATGCCACGGCACTTGATTCAGATTGCGATCTACCCACGAAAACAAAGCTGAGCTGCCCCTAGGTCTGTACATGAAAGTAAAAGGAAGGTGTGGCTGGATCTGTAGACAGAGGCTGAGACAGGCACCCAGCACCCCGGGACCCTCCTTGCTGTCAGCAGCTAAAGGAGGTGAGTGGAGCCCCCCCATCCTGTTTTCAGGGTGCGCTCCTGGCTAAGATTGGCCCGCGTTGCCACCAGCCCTGGGGAATTCCTATGGAGTTTGGTTTCCAAAGTCAGCTGGTTCACCCGCAAACCGCATCTCTGGTCTTAACTGGAGTTATGTTGAGGAAAAATAGTTTCTTTTAATTCCTTGTTTGAAAACACTCCTAGCACCATGAGTCTCTGCCGCCTTATCTACAGCATCTCTGGGGCTTGTGTGTTTGTGAAGAGCTTGCCTAGCTTTTTATTACTGGTGCCTGAGACATGGTGTGAGGGTGATCTGGTTTCCTCTGGACTGGAACAGAAAGCCTGGGAATGAAGCTTGAGAGAGCACATTCCCAGCTCCCAAGCCAGCTCCTTGCTGAGAGGCCTGCCTCGGCCTTGGAGGGGAGTAGAGGTGGAATACGAGTGAATGACAGGAAGGTTCAGGGGCTGTGAGGACAAAAGACTGTCCAAACACACCAGCCGGGGGCTCGGTGCCACGGTTTATCTTGGAGTGTTGAGGAAGCTTCATCTTTCTATTCTATAAACATATTTTGATGTGAATTTCCTATCTCAGGTGTCAGATGTCTCCCACAGTCCTGACCTGCTCATAAAATTAGGATTCCTTCTTCACTGCTTCTCAACTCACAAATTGGGTTGCCACATGAAATACAGGATGCCCAGTTAAATTTGGACTTCAGGTAAACAACAAATAATTTTTTGGTATAAGTATGTCCCAAATATTGCAGGGAACATACTTATACTAAAATTATTTGTTGTTTACCTGAAATTCAAGTGTAATTGAACCTTCTGTATTTTTATTTGCTAGAGCTGGCAACCCTCCAGAGGCAATTCATCAATGAATCCCCTTAGATCTGGGCACCGTTGGTTGTTAGGAGTTGGGGTCCTTGGTGGCCTCACTCGAAGCCCTCGTTTTGTTCAGCAGAAGTTCCCGTTGGAGGGCGGTATCTCCCACCTGGAAGCTGACCTGAGCCAGACCTGCCTGGTCCCGGAAACCTCCATTGCCGAACAGTTACAGGAGCTGCCGTTCACGCCTTTGCATGCCCCTATTGTTGCGGGAACACAGACCAGGAGGTGAGGTGTTGTTGTTGCGGGAACACAGACCCGGAGGTGAGGTGGTGGTGTTGCGGGAACACAGACCAGGAGGGTATGAGGTGGTATTTGAGAACACAGACCCGGAGGTAGAGGGTGGTGGTGTTGTAGGGAACACAGACCGGAGGTGAATGGTGTGTGCGGGAACACAGACCCAGGAGTGAGGTGTTGCGGGAACTGGAACCGGAGGTGAGGTGTTGTTGTTGCGGGAACACAGACCCGGAGGTGAGTGGGTGGTGTGCGGGAACACAGGCCAGGTGAGGTGTTATTTGCGGAACACAGGCCGGAGGTGTGGTGGTGGTGTTGCGGGAATACAGACCCGGAGGTGAGGTGGTAGTATTGCGGAACACAGACCCGGGAGGTGAGGTGAGTGGTGTTGTGCCCAGGAACCCACAGACCCGGAGGTAAGTGGTGGTGCAGGAGCAGACCCGGAGGTGGGGTGTTGTTATTCTTGGGAACCTGTCCGGAGGTGAGGTGTTGTTGCGGGAACACAGACCCGGAGGTGAGGTGTTGTTGCGGGAACCTGAGCCCGGAGGTGAGGAGTGAGGTAGTATTGCGGGGACACAGGCCCGGAGGTGAGGTGGTGGTGTTGCGAGAACACAGGCCCGGAGGTGAGGTGACATGGCGGGAACGCAGACCCGGAGGAGTGAGGTGTTATTGCGGGAACACAGACGGAGGTGAGGTGGTGGTGTTGCGGGGACACAGGCGGAGGTGAGGTGGTGGTGTTGCGCGAGAACACAGGCCTGGAGGTGAGGTGTTGTGGCGGGAACGCAGACCCGGAGGTGAGGTGGTGTTGTTGCGGGAACACAGGCCCAGAGGTGAGGTGGTGAATTGTTGTAGGAACACAGGCCCGGAGGTGAGGTATTGTAGGCGGGAACACAGGCCCGGAGGTGAGGTGGTGGTGTTGCGAGACACAGGCCGGAGGTGAGGTGGTGTTGCGGGGAACACAGGCCCGGAGGTGAGGTGGTGGTGTGGGACACAGGCCCGGAGGTGAGGAGTGGTGTTGTTTGCGGGAACACAGACCCGGAGGTGAGGTGGTGGTGTTGCGGGAACACAGGCCCGGAGGTGAGGTGTTGTTGTTGTGGAGACACAGGCCCGGTGAGGTGTTGCGAGACACGAAGCCCGGAGTGAGGTGTTATTCATGGGAACACAGGCCCGGAGGGTGGGGTGGTGGTGTTGCGGGAACACAGACCCGGAGGTGAGGTGGTGTTGTTGCGGGAACACAGACCTGGGAACACAGACCCAGGTGAGGTGGTGTCGTTGCGGAACACAGACCCGGAGGTGAGGTGGGTATTGTTGCGGAACACAGACCCGGAGGTGAGTGGGTAATCGTTGCGGGAACACAGGCCTGGAGGTGAGGAGTGTTGTTGCGGGAACACAGACCGGGAACACAGACCCGGAGGTGAGGTGGTGCCGTTGCAGGAGCACAGACCCGGAGGTGAGGTGGTGTCGTTGCGGGAACACAGACCCGGGGGGTGAGGTGGTGTCGTTGCGGGAACACAGACCCGGGGGTGAGGTGGTGTCGTTGCGGGAACACAGACCCGGGGGTGAGGTGGTGTCGTTGCGGGAACACAGACCCGGGGTGAGGTGAGGTATGCGTTGCGGGAACACAGACCGAGGTGAGGTGGGTGTCGTTGCGGGAACACAGACCGGGGAGTGAGGTAGTGTCGTTGGGAACACAGGCCGGGAGTGAGGTGGTGTCGTTGCGGGAACACCAGGCCGGAGGTGAGGTGGTGTCGTTGGGAGACACAGGCCCGGAGAGTGAGGTGGTGGTGTTGCGGGAACACAGGCCCGGAGGTGAGGTGGTGGTGTTGTGGGAACACAGACCGGAGGAGTGAGGTGTTATTGCGGGAACACAGACCCGGAGAGTGAGGTGTCGGTGTTGCGGGAACACAGGCCCGGAGGGTGAGGTGGTGATGCGGGAACACGGGCCGGAGGTGAGGTGGTGGTGTTGCGGGCATGCTTACAGACCCGGAGGTGAGGTGGTATTGTTAAAGGGAACATAGGCCCGGATGTGAGGTGATGGTGTTGCGGGGACACAGGCCGGAGGTGAGGGTGTTTGTTGTTGCGGAACACAGGCCCGGAGGGTGAGGTGTTATTGCGGGAACACAGGCCCGGAGGTGAGGTGTTATTTTGGGAACACAGACCAGGAGGTGAGGTGAGAGTGGTGTGCGGGAACCTTACAGACCCGGAGGTGAGGGTGGGTATGAATTACTTTAGGGAACCTTGCAGACCGGAGGTGAGGTGGTAGTGTTGGCCAGGAACACAGGCCGGAGGTGGCGTGTTGTTGCGGGAACCTGAGACCGGAGGTGAGGTGGTGGTGTTGTGGGAACACAGACCCGGAGGTGAGGTGGTGTTATTGAGACACAGACCCGGAGGTGAGGTGGTGTTGTTGGGAACCACAGGCCGGAGGTGAGGTGGTGGTGTTGCGGGAACTGAGGCCCGGAGGTGAGGTGAGTGGTGTTGCGAGAACACAGACCCGGAGGGTGAGGTGGTGAGTGTTGTGGGAACACAGACCCGGAGGTGAGGTGTTGTAAGGCGGGAACATGGGCCCGGAGGTGAGGTGATGGTGTTGGGAACACAGGCCCGGAGGTGGAGGTGGTGTTCTTGCGGGAACACAGGCCCGGAGGTGAGGAATGTTATTGCGGGAACACAGGCCCAGAGGGTGATGAGGAGTGATGGTGTTGCGGGAACACAGGCCCGGAGTTGAGGTGGTGTTGTTGCGGGAACACAGGCCCGGAGGTGAGGTGATGGTGTTGCGGGGACACAGGCCGGAGGTGAGGTGTTGTTGCGGGAACACAGGCGGAGGTGAGGTGTTGTTGCGGGAACACAGGCCCGGAGGTGAGGTGGTGTTGTTGTGGGAACTGGGCCAGTCGCGTGTTATTTGAGGAACACAGACCCGGGGGTGAGGTGGTGGTGTTGCGGGAATACAGGCCCCGGAGAATTGAGGTGTTGTTATCGCGGGAACACAGGCCCGGAGGTGAGGTGGTGGTGTTGCGGGAACACAGGCCCGGAGGTGAGGTGGTGGTATTTGCGAGACACAGACCAGAGGTGAGGTGGTGGTGTTGCGGGAACACAGACCCGGAGGTGACGGGAACACAGACCCGGAGGTGAGGTGGTGGTGTTGCGGGAACACAGGCCCGGAGGTGAGGTGGTGGTGTTGCGGGAACACAGGCCCGGAGGTGAGGTGTTGTTGTTGCGGGAACACAGGCCCGGAGGTGAGGTGTTGTTTTTGCGGGAACACAGACCAGGAGGTGAGGTGGTGTTGTTGCGGGAACACAGACCCGGAGGTGAGGTGGTGTTGTTGCGGGAACACAGACCCGGAGGTGAGGTGGTGGTGTTGCGGGAACACAGGCCCGGAGGTGAGGTGGTGGTGTTGCGAGAACACAGACCCGGAGGTGAGGTGTCGGTGTTGCGGGAACACAGGCCTGGAGGTGAGGTGGTGTTGTTGCGGGAACACAGGCCCGGAGGTGAGGTGATGGTGTTGCGGGAACACAGGCCCGGAGGTGACGTGTTGTTGCGGGAACACAGGCCCGGAGGTGAGGTGATGGTGTTGCGGGAACACAGGCCCGGAGGTGAGGTGTGGCTCCAGGTGGGATGGAACCAGGCACGTGCTGTGTCGTCTCAGACTGTTGGACCTTGTGAACACCAGGCATTCCACAGGGAGGTGCATCAATGGGTCCCCCTTTCCCGGGAGGCTGCCTGAGGAGTCTCTGTGTCTCAGCTCTGCAGGGCAGCCCTCGAGAGCCTCCATGGTGCTCCTGCAGTCCTCCGGCTTTCCCGAGATTCTGGATGCCAATAAACAGCCAGCTGAGGCCATCAACCCTACAGACCCCGTGACGTTTAACCCTCAGAAGGAGGAATCGGATTGTCTACAAAGCAACGAGATGGTGCTACAGTTTCTTGCCTTTAGCAGGTAAATGCTTGAATATTCTGTGTTACTCATCTGGCTTTCACATTTCCTGTGAAGAGAAACTTTGCTGAGATTCTGACCTGGCAGAACTGTCTGTGCTCGGGTCTTAGTGGATTCGGGAGTGCCATCTGTTTTTATCTTATCTTGGCTAGCACCCACCCATGGCATGCTAAATGCTGTGAAAGCTGCTTTGCCCCATCTTTTGTGGTCCTTCATTAAAATGTGGATGGTGTGTAGTCCAGGTCTTAGATCTTAGTGTAGCTCCGAAGGCAGCTTCTCTAGCCGGGAGTGTCCTTATACTCGAGAGGGCTGCTGTCTGGCCGGCTTGCTGAGAGCACAGCAAAGCGGTTCCGTTGGTGACCGTGGCAGCCTCTTTACTGTTGCCCCAGCAACTAAGGTGCCTGGACCATCCCCTTATGCGAATGCACATCAGACCCCTCAGGTTCTGTGCCATGGATACTCGATTAACCCAGAGCTGTTGTTGGATTCAGAGTGGCCCAGGACTGCCGAGGGACGTCATGGCCAAAGACTGTGTATTTCACCTTCCAGTTCTACCGCTTCCCACCCGCAACAACGCCACGACTGCAGCTGGTCCAGCTGGATGAGGCCGGCCAGCCCGGCTCTGGTGCCCTGACCCACATCCTCGTGCCTGTGAGCAGAGACGGCACCTTTGATGCTGGTGAGTGCTCGTGTGTGTGGCAAAGGTGAGGCATTCTGTGCTGAGTTGTGTGTGTAAATTGTCAATGTTATGAAAGTGGAACTATGGAAAGTTTAAAACATATACGACATTAGAATAACACGGTGAACCAGTGCGGCAAACACAGCCCCAGCAGCTCTGAGCTACCTCCCAACCCAGCGTCCTCCCCCAAGCCAGGGTTGTTTTGAAGCAAATCCCAGACATTACAGAATTTCATGTATGAATATTTCCTTATGTATATCTAAAAAATTAAGAATTCTTATTGAAAAACATAATTGGTATTTCCCACCTGAAATAGTAACTCCTAATATCATCAAGTATCTAGCCAATGTTACAATTTTGCTAGTAACCTCATAACATTTTTTTAAGTTTGTCCAGAAGTAAGGTCCATACTGGTCGTGGAGCAGTGTGACTCTTCAGTCTCTGTCTGCAGTGGCTGTCACCGTGCCTGTCTCTGTTGTTTCTTTTTTATGTATTGAAGAAGCCACGTTGTACTGTAGAGCATCCACCTCACAGTCTGGATTTTGTTTTTGCATCCTGGTGGTAACATAAAGGTGTTGTTCTGTCCCCTCTTTACCTGTCAATTGGGAGTTAGATCCAGATGCATGATTAGACGCTTGGTTTTGTTTTTGGTTTTGGCAAGAATTCTTTGTAGCGGGTGATGTTTGTGCCACCTCCTTCACCTCTGCTGCACCCTTGGCGTCTGCTTACTTCTTTTTATGTTGCACCAGCAGCCATTATGCCCACTGCTGTGTCATTTGTGCAGTGGTGACGTTCTGTTTCTAGAACACCTCCCTTGTTCGTTAGCTGGGATGCTTCCAAAACCAGAAACTTCCCGGCATCAACTTTTTGCTTACATTGAGATGCGGTTTGTATAGGAAAGGCTGGATAATACTTGATTCTTCCCTTTATTTGCCAATTTCTGAAGTAATTACATGATTCCTTGGTATCCTTCAAGGATGGGGACCAATGACTTTTTTTTCTTCAGGTATCATTGTAAACTAATAAATTGAAGCTACATTGAATAGAAACATGCCTGACATGTTGGTATTTTTATTGATGGTCAGTTTCCCCGTCTTGGTTAGTGACACAGCTCATAAGGGACCCAGCTGGGGTCTCAAACACTGCCGCCTCTCAAGGTAGAAAGTGGCAGGTGGGAAAAGTGATGTTGAAGTACTGACCTCAAATGGAAGTAGCCTAACAATGGCACCTGACAACAGAGACACAAAACAAATGCAGCGCGAGGGATCAAGGAGGCTGTTAAACAATAACCAAGAAAGTAATTCACTAGGAAAAGAAACAGTTCTGAATCCGCGAACTTCTAACATATGTAACCTCAAGATAGAAAGGAGAACTTGATGGACTTATAAGGAGAAATCGGCAAAACCCCACAATCATGGGAGATCTAGACATACTTCTCAGTAGATTGATGATCAAATAGAAATAAATTAATAAGGATATTATAAAATACAGTTTAAAAAGGTGATCTGAGAAAACCTGTACACCCCATTTGGAGAATATGCATTATTTTAAAGCATACTTTGAAACTTAGAAAAACGGATCATCATTCATATATTTATTTTTAGCTAACCAAGTAGGCATCCCCTATACTGAGAGAATTGGTATAAAATCTAATTTTATAACTTTCTCTGGTCATAATTCCACAAGATCAGAAGTCAGTCACTCCCTCTCCTACAACCACTCTGAACTGCTTTTTTTTTTAAATTTTAAAACATGCTTCTAATTATTCCATGGGTCAATGAAGACCTCAAATAGAAATGCCTAATTATTTAAAACTGAATGACAAAATAATATTGCATATCAAAACTTAGGAGATGCAAGTAAAATTGTAAATACAGGGGAATTTACAGTTTTAAAAGCCTGTGTTGGTGAAGAAGAAAAGTACCCTTTCAGATATTGTTTTAATTGTTCAACTTAAGAAGTCTGGGGGGAGAAAAGACAGAACAAACCCAATAAAAGTAGAAGGAAAAACATTTGATGAGTGTAAATGCTCAGAAGACAAAACAATAGAACAGGTCAGCCCAACAGTTGGGCACCAGGGTCACCAGGTACAACAGGGCATGCTTCTTGTTTCTTGTCCATGGGCACAGTCAATCAAGAGAGGCAGATGGCGGAGATGAAAATATCACTATCTTGATCATGCATTTATTCATGATAAAGAGGGTGTAGGACTTGGTCTGAGAGCCAGCCGTACCCACTGGTGCCAGCCCCAAATGTGGATAGCCTTTGATGCAGGTGGAAGTTGGCCAGACAGCAGCGGGCTTTGCACCTGGGGTGAGCCCTCACCTCTCTGCTTGCCTGGAAGCACATCTCGGACTGTTGCATTCTCTCCTGTGGGCAGATCTGAAAAGAGGAGACGGGAGGAGGAGTGAGCAGCCTAGTTAGTTAGTTAGCTCAGTTAGTCTATTCCCCATCCCCAGTCAGTTGAGCTGCTCTTGCCCTGAGAGGCACGGGGGCTGGGCAGAGAGAGGCCACAGGAGGCTCCTTTGCATGGAGGTGTGAAGCCAGGGAAGGACATGCTCCTACAACATTTCCGGGGTTTGGTTTTCTCAACTCATTGGCCTTCATCATTACTAAACCAGGGGTGTGGCCTTTGTCTTTGCGGGGAGGGGGCTGGTCACCACCAGGGTGGTTCCAACCTTCCTGAATCACTTCAACTAAGCCAACCACCTTTCCTTTTTCAATTCTCCTGAGGCCTTCGGTAGGCAGTCCAACCGATGTCCCCAGAAGGCTGTAAAACGGATCGGATTAATGCATTGCTCTCAAGGCTCCTCTGTACCCACTGCTGAAGACTCATTCCCTACTCTGTTTCCCATTCCAAATTCCATCCAGTCATTTCATCCAGCACAGCTCATCAGAGGCTCTGCAGTGAAGTTAAATGATAGCATTGAGATCGTTCAATAAAAAAGGCCAACCACTTAGAGATGCTCCTGACTTGAATATAAACCCCTTTCCATGATGAATTTCCCAGAGAGGAATTAAAGTCTCCAAATTAAATTTCCTTGCAGGTTGAAGTCCAAAGAAATGAAACTCCAAAATCAAATTTTCTTGTCATTATGAATTAAAATTCAAAGTCCGAAATTCTTAAGTTGAAGTTCAAAAAAACCCCACCCGACTGATTTCCATTTCTTACGTAGCTGAGTCTCTGCCTGGGCAGGTCTGGGCTTCCTTCAGCAGCCGCAGCTTGCGGGAGGGTTCTCCCTGGACGGGCACGGTTCCCTCGGGCCTTGGGAGTTGCATCAGTTCAGGACTGAGCCTCTCATAAGCCTCACTTAAAAGATATTTGTTGTTGTTGTTGTTGAACTATATAACATGCATATGGTAAAGAGCACAGATTGCCAGTGCATGGTTCTATTATTTTAAAAAATTAATAATTTTATGTTTTTAGATCAGTTTTAGGTTTACAGAAAAATTGAGTAGCTGGTACAGAGAGTTCCCATAGGACCTCCCCCTCCAGGAGTTTCCCCTATTATTAACATTTTGCGTTGGTGTGACACGTTCTTTTTTCAGGTTTTTTTTTTTCTTTTTTTTTGAGACGGGATCTTACTCTGTCACCCAGGCCGGAGTCCAGTGGCACAATCATGGCTCACTGCAACCCCTACCTCCTGGGCTCAAACAATCCTCCCACCTCAGCCCCCACATAGCTGGGACCACAGGCATGTACCACCGTGCCCAACTAATGCTTTTTTGTAGTTTTTATAGGGGTTTTGCCATGTTGGCCAGGCTGGTGTTGAACTCCTTGGCTCAAGTGATCCTCCTGCCTCAGCCTCCCAAAGTGCTGAGATGTCAGATGTGAGCCACCATACCTGCTGTGTGACACATTTGTTACAATTGATGAACCAATATTAAAAAAGTCTTATGAACTAAACTCATAGTTTACGCTAAAGTTCATTCTGCATTATACAGTCTGTGATTTTTGACAAATACATGACATCGTAGATCCACTATGATAGATCATATGGAATAGCTTCATCGCCCTCCACCCCCCTGCGCTCCACCTATTCAGCCCTCCCCTCCTCCCTGGGCACTGCTGTTCTTTTGACTGTTTCCATGTTGCCTCTTCCAGAACGTCATACAACTGGTATCATAGTTCGTAGCTTTTCAAAACTGGTTTCTTCCAGCACTGTGCATTTAAAGTTCCTCCATGGCTTTTTCTGTCTCGCTCAGGCATTTCTTGGATTGCTGAATGACACTTCATTGCACGTACGTGCCACAGCCTATTTTTCCATTCACCTCTTGAAGGGCATCTTGGTTGTTTACAGTTTTTGGCAATTTTGAATAAAGCTGTTAGAAACATTTGTGTACAGGGTTTTGTGTGTACATAATGTTTCAACTCACAGGTAAATACCAAGGAGTGTGGTTGCTGGATCATGTGGTAAGAGTATGTTTAGTTTTGTTAGGAATCACCATACTGTCTTCCAAAGTGGCTGGGCCTTTTTGTGTTCCCACCAGCAGTGAATGAGTGTTCTGGTGCTCCGTATCCTCACCAGCATTTGGTCTTGTCAGTGGTTGGGATTTTAGCTGCTCTAGCAGGCCGTACAGTGGTGTCTTGTTGTTGTAATTTGCAGTTCTCTAGTGACGTATGATGTGGAACATGTTCTCATGCGTATTTGCCTTCTGTACATCTTCCTCCATGAGATTTCTGCTCAGATACCTGAACGGATATCTGTATACATTTTGGATGCAAGTCCATTATCAGATACGTATTCTGCAAATGTTTTTTCCCGATCTATGGCTTGTCTTTTTATTCTCTTACCAGGATGTTTGGCAGAGTGAAGTTTTTCATTTTAATGAAGTCCAGCTCATTAGTTATTTCTCTCATGGATTGTGCGTGGGTTGTATCTGAAAAGCCATCTCTGAGGTCACCTAGATTTTGTTCTGTGTTATCTCCTAGGAGTTGTATAGTTTTGTGGTTCACATTTAGGTCTGTGATCCATTTTGAGCTAATTTTTATAAAAGGT